ATATAAATAGTGAAAAAAAAAAACAATATAAGGGCGGGCAAAATTAAGCAAATTAATTATGATTATAAATGAGTAGAGCAAAAAAAATAATAATAATAACAATAATTATAATACACACACCCAAACACACACATACAACTACATAGATGTAAACGAAAATTAAATAATTTCGTGCATATTGAATAATATTATTAAAAAAAAAAAACATATATGTTAGCTGAATACACAATTATGTAATTGGATGTCACTCTTTAATAAAGTCGAAAAATAAAAACAAAAAACGTAATAAGCTCCAATTTGTAAACCACAAAAAAAGAAAGTTTGTTAATTTTAAATAAAATCGAATCACAATAAAAACTGAACGAAACGAAAAATCCGATTACCGAATAATTATCTGCGTGGCACATCTAAAATATGGAAATGATGCATAAATGTTTTTAAGTTTATATACATATTATACATAAGCATAACTATGTAATTATTAGTGTAATTCCTAAAAACGAAACAAACAAAAAGAAAACACAAAAAAAAAAATTAAAACGAAGCGTAAAAAAATTTTCAAAACTGAAATCAACTAGAGAAAAAAAAAACACAAAATTTCTACTATTTTCTAAATAAAAAACCAAACAGAAGAAAAATATTTATTGAAATTGAAAAGGAAAGGAAATCAATAAAGAAAAGCAAAAGTAATTTGTATAATTTAATTAAGTTACGCCAGCCTAACATCAAATGAAATAATTTAACTTTTTCTACTGCGCTTCACCTAACTTCAGCTGCTTCCTCTTCCATGGCTAAAAATCAAAATCGAAAATAAAATATAACGCATGCAACAATTGTGCATTTATTTAGCTTTACGTTCGACTTGCGCTCTAACTAAATTGTTTATAATTTTTACAATGCATAAAAAGAAGAACACAAAAAATATTAAAATAAACAAAGAACAAACACGCAATAGTAAAAGTCTATTATTGTTAAGTTTACAACTAACTCCTGCCTACACTACACATACACACACACATACACACAATACTGTTAAAACCTTACACACAACAACATAAAATTAGCCGCAATATTTGTTTAAATGTTAATCGAAAAACCTTTGAAGAACCCAAACTCCTTCAATTTTAACGCTCATATGCCATATTTTCATTATGAAAAGAAAGTTATAATAATAATTATAATAATAATTGCATAAAGTTAAGCCAACTAAATCAATTGTGTGTGTAATTATCATGTATGATGCATATATAATTAAATAATTCATATGTAATTTAACTATATATACACAGCAGACAGTATAGAAGTGTTTAAACAAAAACTTTCATCATTATTAAAAAACAAAAACCGAGAAGAGAACAAAAATACAATCCACACACACAACACACACATTCTGCATACGAATATCAACTTTTTCTACACTGTAAAAAACGCAACTGTAACTTTTTTATACACACATATTTACTCGTAGCTCTACTACGTTCGATTCTCGCTATCTCTCTCTTTTCAAAAAGTTTACATAATGTGTTTTATTTTTTTTATTGCTATTATGTAAGCGTTTAGTTTGTTAGTTTATTAAATGCGCTGAATGTACTGAGAAATTGGTTTTGATTTGCTAAATAAAAACGGAATAAAACTAATTTAAACAAAATGAAAGAGTGTTAACATCTGGAAAAGGGAAGGGGCCTCAGACGATTCTAAATCGTTATAATCCTCAGTTTAAACATGATTGATAGATAGAAATGATTATAATGAAAGTTGATGACTACTTACCGACTCTTAATGGCTCTCTCCATGAATAGTGATAAAAAGGTTGTTGGTTGTTTAAATATAATAACATCATTCATGTCATTTAATTGTATTTTTAAAATGCATCTCCTAACAGCAAAGGTTGAATTTCTCTTTAATTGCTTCCCATTCTTCCTTTATATTGCACACATATTACAAACTGGCCTTCATCAAGGGTTTCAGGTAGGTCTCAAATGATTTTTGCACTGGTCGTTGGTTCATGGTGCTGCGCTTGGCCGCATCGAAGATTCGTGGATAGACATTGCCATCGTAACTGCCCAGCACCGAGTTAAGCACGCGATCGTGATAGTCGAAGCCATCACAGATGGCAACCGCATCGGGACGCAATTTCTCCAGCGACACCTCCAGACGCTTCTGCAGAGATCTCAGATCGGCATCGGTCAGATTGACAAACTAGAAATGCGAATACATGATTAATCAGATTAAACAAACTGCAATATTATAAGTATTCTTATTACTCTCAAGATCTCGCCCAAATTGTTGAGGACAGTCTGCACCAGGAACAGCTCCAGCACATTTTCCAGCACCTTGTTTAAGGCGGGCGAACGATTCTGTGCATTAGGTCCAGTAATTTGGTTCAAAAACGTTTCACACACAAACTGGCGACCATGGAACTATCGAAAGAATATTAGGATTAGCCGTTTAGTTGAAGGTAGTATAATTAAATAACTTACCTCGGCAGCTCGGGTGAGCTCGATACCCGTGTTGTTGGCTGCGACACCCTGTGACTGCCCAGCAGCAATTCTCTCCGACATGTTCTCAAATGCGATACGTGTCTTACTATAAATACAGAAGGGTTTAGTCAGAGTCCAAGCTGTACATCTAACACACTTACTGTGCAGCGGTATATTGCAGCGCTTGAATAATAATCTGCCAAGAATTGTTCCACTTGGGGAATTCCTTCAGGCGCATAGAAGACTCAAAGTAGCCATACGCGGGAGAGACTCTCTGGCCTTGCTTAAAACTGTTCCAAGCTTTGACCAGAGCACGTCCAATCTGCAAGAGCAGCACGGTGTTTTCGCCTTCATATGTGTACGCAGCTACGGCATTACCGTAAATGTTACTCAGATTGGCGGCAATGTGATAGCCATGGCCGCCAGTGGATAGGCGCAGACGCTCAATGCCCGCGCAGCTGTCGGTGGTGCAGAGGACCTTCAGGGCACACGACATAATGTGCATGTCGGGCAAACGATCGAATTTTCCATTGTTGGCATCCAACACCGTCTGATCGTACAGCTCCCACATGTGCTTCGCGGCGATGTCATAGGCCATGCCGGTCGCTATCTCGGGGAACAGTTTCAGTCGCTGTGTCACATGATCAATGATCTGCGGCTCGGCCTCACTGATATTAAAAACAAAAGAGTCAGAGAAATGTGTCAAGCAGTTAAAGGTCTCTTACTTACTCGGGCTCTATGGGACTCTGGCGACGCACGGCCGAGTACCGGGTGGCTATGGTGGCCGCCTGGAGCAATAGCGATGAGTTCAAGTTAACAATGAGGCAGCGCGTGTAAACCATTGTCAAGTAGTTAACCCTCGAAGCGGGGCTGGCGATGAAGGTGCCGTCGCGTTCCACCTTGGCGTACTTCATCAGCATGTTGGTGCGTGGGATGCGCACGTTCTTCAGGCCCAAAAAGCCCTGGTTGACCGCAGCCATGCCCAGCTTCTTGCCCACCTCGCCAATGTCGATGCCTGGCAGTGGCATGTGGGTCTCCGGATCACGCAGCGGCACAATAAACATTTGCACACCCTTGTGTTTGCCGGATATGTACAGCTGGGCAACCACCATGGCGTGGTTGGCCGTGTGGCCCACTGTGAAGAGGATTCAATATTAATACTCAAGCACTCAAGATTAAGTTTATATATGCAAAGCACTTACTGCCGCCGGGCCACCACTTGTAGGCCTCCAGGTTGGGCGTGTTGAGCACAAACTCGCCCGCCCTGGGATCGTAGTCGGCGCGTGTTTCGATGCCACGCACATTGGTTCCGTGGGCCAGTTCTGTTTGGGCATAGGTGCCAATTATATTGCAGTTCTCGGCCAAAGTTCCCCACTTCTCCACCTGCTCAGGTGTGCCCTGACCCTTGATCACGTCCACAAACATGGTAATGTGGGTGGCCAGTGGATGATTAGCCGGAAAGAGTCCGTGGCTCTGAACGCGGAACAGGCAACCACTATGAATAATTATAATTAGTATAGTAATATAATTAGCTCAGTTAGGTCAATCATGAGTTGAACTTACGGCCAAATGTCTTTGCCGCCGGGATTCAGTTTCTCCTGCAGGGCCTTCAGCTTAGGTGCTGCTTCGGCGACCTTCTTTACGGTGGAATTGTAGAGATCCTCGTGGGACATGTACTCATGGTTGATGCCATAGCCATCCTCCAGATCACTAAAGATAGCAAGCTCTAAAGATAAAGATAAGATGATACAATGTCCGTGTGAAGTGCATAGTACATATCAAAGTCTGCTCTACCAGTCCTTACACTTTGGATTATAGATATTAAGTGCAATCAAAGAAGTAAATACAATTCAGACTGATAACCAAAATCAATGGACATAAAGACATAAAGCACCTTATCAAACATTTTGCTTACACGTGAAATCAATAGACAATGTATTTGATATAATCTAATGGACTTTGCCGGCCTGCCAAACATAATTAACATTTGCGATAAACAGTTAGCCGAGCAGCGGCTAAATCACGTAGATTACGAAGGGTGCGAGAGCAACAGAGAGAGGCACAGACCAAGCAAGCATAAGCTGTGTGAGTGTGTGTACCTCGCGCTTTACTTACCAATTTGTCTCTTCAACTCAAGTTTATCAGCACCTCCCTGCCACCAAGCAGCAAATTCGTTCACATCGAAGCTGGCCAATGAGCGCTCCTTTTGCAAATCAGGATTAACAGTTGTTGGTATTACATTTTTAATATGCGACATTTTAGTATATTACAATATTTAACAAAAGACAAAATATAATAAAATAGAAAGCCCGATCGCTGCTGTCGCTCCAAGCTACAACGCTCAACTGAGACGATAGCGCACAGAGCGTGTATGAGGAAAAAAGCTTTGAGGGCAAAGTGCAGAGCAACGAACCGAAGAGCTTTCATCGCAATACACTCGCTGAGCGCACGTCAAAGAGAGCGCAGATAAAGCATAAATCAACTTGTACGAGCTGCTGCTGATGCGATTAACAAGTGTTTACAAATCAATTAAGAGTAAAATACATACATATATACAAAAAGAAGAGACACAACTAAGAGACGAGCATACATCAGCGTTTTATAAGTTGGACTTCATGAAGGGCCCCAGGTGCTCGTGGAAGCTCTTAGGAACCGATTTTTGGTTCAGCGGCGCACTCATAGCGGCATCGAAGATTCGCTCATAGGCATTGCCGTCATAGGAGCCCAATGTGGAATTCAATTGCTCATCAGCGAAGTCGAAACCATCGACAATGGCCACCGCATCCGGGCGCAATTTAGTCAAAGCTGTCTCCAGACGTGACTGCAGCTTGTTCAGATCCGCATCCGTTAAGGCCACGACACGGAGGATGTTGTTCATGTTGTTCAGTGTAACGTTCACTAGGTACAGCTCTAGCAGCTGCTCCAGCACTCGGTTAAGAGCTGATGAGCGCTTCTTGGACTTTGCCCCAGTTACCTCAGTGAGGAATGAATGGAAAACAAATGCGCGACCATGCAGCTAAGGAAAGAATATAAATATGTTTACCATACTCTACTGAAAACTATTAATGTAACTGTACCTCTGCAGCCTGGGTGAGTTCAATGCCCGTTTGGTTAGCGGCCACCTCCTCTGATTGGCCGTTGGCCAAGCGCTTGGCCAGATTATTGAAGGCGATGCGAGTCTTGCTAATGAATGCAAAGGGAAATTAGGTTAATCCAGATCAGAGTTAGGCTTGTTTCACACGCATAACTCACTTTGCTGCAGCGAATTGCATTGCCTTAACCAAGTTCTCCCAACTGCCCGTCCAGACTCCAAACTCGGGATTCCGCTGCACCTCGGCCAAATAGCTGACAGTGGGTGCTAGGGGAGCTCCACTCTGTGCCGCGCGCCACGACTTCATCAGGAAGCGTCCAATCTGGAGTAGAAGCACAGTATTTTCCCCCTCATAGGTGCAGGCAGCTGTTGCGTTGACATAGATGTTGCCAAGATTAGCCGAGGTCAGGTAACCATGACCACCACAAGCCAATCGCAGGCGCTCAATGCCTGCGGCGGCATCGCTGGAACAGAGCACCTTCAGAGCACAGGAGAGGGAGTGCAGCTCGGGCAGTCGCTCGTATCTTCCTTGGTCCTTATCTCTGGAGGTGGCATCAAACAATTCCAGGAGGTAGTCACAAGCATTACGATAAGCCAAACTGGCGGCTATCTCTGGGATGACCTTTAGCTGTTGAGTGACATGATCCAAGATCTGAGGCTCGGGCAACCTGCAAAATAGTTTCTCTAAGTACACAAAATATTGGCACAAGCACGGAATACTTCATACTTGGGATCGATAGGACTCTGTCTGCGCACAGCGGAGTAGCGAGTGCCAATGGTGGCTGCCACGGCCAGAATCAACGACATGTTGCGGGCAATGATGCAGCGAGTGCGGACCATGGCAAAGTAAGTGAGGGCATCGGCCGGACTCTTCACGTAGGTGCCATCACGGTTCACCTTGGCGTGCCGCATGAGCATCCGAGTGCGTGGAATGCGCACGTTCTTCATACCCAGGAAGCCATTATTAACAGCCAGGAAGCCCATCTTCTTGCCAATCTCACCAATGTGCACGCCTGGCCGTGGCTCATGCGTGTCTTCCTCTCGCACCTGGACATAGAATAAGTGGGGTCCCTTGAGCTCTCCATCTATGTACAGCTGTGCCATGACAATCGAATAGTTGGAGCACTGGCCCACTGAAAATGATGGAAGTTAGGATTAAGGGACTATCTTTAGTTAATGTACAACTCACATCCGCCTGGCCACCACTTGTAGGCGGTAATGGTAGGTGTATTCAGCACAAACTCATCCGTTTCCCGATCGTAGTCGGCGCGAGTCTCCAGGCCGCGCAAGTAGGTACCATGTCCCAGCTCCGTTTGGGCATAGGCGACGGATACTTCGAAGCGTTCCACCCGCTTGCCGAACTCTTCGTACTGTTCGGGTGTGCATTGATCCTTCAGAGCGTGAATTACCATCACGAACATCACGGTAAAGGGGTTTCCCACTTTGTGCAGACCCCACAACTCGGGCGAATCATACAGCGTACTGCAATATATAGAGAGGCAATTAGAAGAGAGCTTGCTTTAAGAGAGCTTCATTTACTCACGGCCAATATTCGTTGCCGCCAGGATTTCGCTCTGCCTGCAGCTGCCGCAGCTTTTTCGCCACATTAATGCTGTTCTTTACGGCAAACTCGCACATGTCCTCATGGGACAAATAGTCGACCTGATTGAGGGCAGCAAAATCAACATCCTTAAACATGTACTCTTCTGCAGAGGGAACGAGAGAGAGAGAGAGAGTTACAACGAAAGAGTAAAAATGCTTAGTCAGCATTAGTAGTTAATCTCAGATGTTTATTATAAACATAATAAAGTTGATTTTAGCTTCGACAGCAAGATTGCAATTTGTTTATCTGGACCTTTGACCACCAATGTAGATGTGATAACAAACGCGAACGGTGTGTTGACATTATATACTATTAGCAGCAGGTATTTACGTTGTTGCATGCTTAAGTATTCCAAACTTGCTTGTCTCTTACTTACTGATGCCTCTCTTAAATTTCAATTGCTCTGCGCCGCCCGCCCACCAGGCAGCGAATTCTTCGCTGTTGAAGCTAGCGCCATCGCGTTCCTTTTGCAGATCGGCATTAACTGTGCTGGGTATTACGCTGCTTGCAGACATATTAAGTACTTTAATTTGTTTATGTTCAGCGAAAGTTTGATCCTAAACAACAACCACTTGCCACGCGCACCAGATCACAACTGAAGTCGTATTGAAATTTAATGGCAATTTAAACTCAAAATCGTACACTCTCTTTGATTGCTCTCTTCTCTCTCGCTTTCTATACCTCTTTGCTACTATCAGACTCGTTTTATGAAGAGCTTTGAAAAAAAGCTTTCATGCTGTAAAAATAATAATAACCGAAAATGCATATACATATGTACATACATAAATGCGTATATGCGTGTTGTTTTCTGCATTGAGGTAGGTTGAGAGTGCTTTTGTGTGGCACACTGCCGCCATCTGTTGTAAATAAATTTTAGCTGAGTTTTGTTTACGTTTGATTCAAAATAACTCACACGAACCATACAATTAAATTAAATTAATAAAAATGTTATAAAAAATTAATAATGTAAATTGAAATAAAAAATTAACATAAGATCACCAATCCATACAATATGCCCTCAGTACATTAAATGTTCGTTTCAAATGTTCGATTTCATAAACGGGCCCAAATGCTCGGGAAAGCTTTTCGGAACCGACTTCCGGTTCATGGAAGCCTTCAAGGCCGCATCGAAGACTCGCTCGAGCATGTTGCCATCATAAAATCCCAGAGTTGAGTTCAACTGCGCATCACCAAAGTCGAATCCATCCACAATGGCTACTGCATTGGGTCGCAATTTGGCAAGCGCCGCCTCCAGACGAGCCTGCAGCTTGTTCAGATCTTCATCGGTCAAGTGGACCACACGAAGTATATCACTCATATTGTTCAATGTAACATTCACCAGGTATAGCTCCAGCAGATCCTCCAGCACTCGATTCAAGGCAAGCGAGCGAGCCTTGGACTTTGGTCCAGTTACCTCAGCGAGGAAGTTGTGCACCACAAAGGCGCGAGCATGTAGCTAGGAAATATATGAATATATATTGAAGATATACCAATTGGGTCATATAGTACCTGAGCTGCCTGGGTGAGCTCAATGCCTGTGTGGCTAGAGGCCATCCGCTCCGTTTCTCCATTATCGATCCGATTTGACAGACTCTTAAAGGCCAGACGAGTTTTACTGAAGAATTTCAAGTAAATTACAGGCTGCATGAGAATTTAAGATTAGGGACAACTCACTTAGCAGCAGCAAACTGCATTGCCTTCACCAAATTATCCCAACTGCCTGACCACAGCCCAAACTCGGGATTCTGGTGCACCTCAGCCAAGTAGCTGGCAGTGACCGCAAGTGGAGCTCCACTCTGTGCTGCACGCCACGACTTCATGAGGAAGCGACCAACCTGGAGGAGAAGTACAGTGTTCTCTCCCTCGTAGGTGCAAGCAGCGACTGTATTTACATAAATATTGCACAGATTGGCAGAGGCAAGGTATCCAAGTCCACCGCAGGCCAGACGCAGTCTTTCAATGCCCGCGGCGGAGTCACTTGTGCTCATAACCTTCAAGGCACACGAAAGGGTGTGCAGCTCGGGCAGACGATTATAGTTGCCCTGATTAATGTCCCTGGAAGTCGCGTTGAACAACTCCCTGAGGTAATTGTAGGCTAAGCTATAGGCCAAGCTGGTGGCTATCTCGGGAAAGACCTTCAGCTGTTGAGTGACATGATCCAAGATCTGCGGCTCGGGTAAACTGAAAAATAGGAATTACTTCGGCTATTATGATATTTATGATTAAGTAGGAAGCGTAACACCTGGTATCAATGGGAGATTGACGACGCACAGCCGAGAATCGCGTGGCAATGGTGGCTGCAGAGGCCAGCGCAACAGCCGAATTGCGAGCCACGATGCATCGCGTGGAAAGCATTGCAAAGTAGGTGAGGGCGTCCACAGGACTCTTCACGTAGGTGCCATCACGATGCACCTGGGCATGGCGCATGAGCATCCGAGTGCGAGGAATGCGAACGTTCTTCATACCGAGGAAACCATTATTGACGCCCAGGAAACCCATCTTCTTGCCCAGCTCGCCAATGTGTACGCCTGGCCGCGGTTCATGCGTGCCTTCCTCTCGCAACTGCACGTAGAACATGTGTAGTCCCTTAAGTTGTCCATCAATGTATAGTTGTGCCATGACTATTGCATGGTTAGAGCTTTGACCCACTGGGAAGTATAGAAATACCGATTAAGAGTTCATAATTCAAGTATTCACAACTCACATCCCCCTGGCCACCATTTGTATGCTGATATGGAGGGCGTATTCAACACAAACTGATCCGTTATCCGATCAAAGTCGGCGCGTGTCTCTAGACCCCGTAAATGGCTGCTGTGTCCCAGCTCCGTCTGGGCATAGGTAGCGGTTACCTCAAAGCGTTCCACCCGCACACCAAACTCTTTGTACTGCTCCGGGGTGCATTGAGTTTTTAGAGCATCCACCACGACCATGTACATCACGCTGAAGGGATTACCAGCCCGATGCAGACTCCATAGCTCAGGCTCGTCAAAGAGAGTGCTGATGCAAATAGTACGTTATAAAATAAATTTATCTAAATAAATATTTACTTACGGCCAATATTCATTGCCCCCAGGATTTCGTCGCGCTTGTAGCTGGCGTAGCTTTTTCGCCACATCTATGCTGGATTTTACGGCGAATTCGCACATATCCTCATGCGACTTGTAATAAAGCTGTTGGCTCTCATCGTAGTCGAAATCCTTGTACATGTACTCGCCTGTAAATGGAAAAAAGAATATCAACAAAATATCTTAAATGTATGAAAAATAGTAATAATATTATAAATTATGTACTTATTTAAGATTAAAGAACGCTTCAAATGAACTTTTTGAACTTCTACTCATTTGAATTATGTATTTAAAGCTAAAGGCTGCGAGCATGCAAAATTGATTTGAATATAATTTTACAAGATATTAGCTGTGTCTAAGCGTTAAAAACTTTAAGCTCTTGGAGTTTTGTTGAGGATACAAAACTAAATCTCATTTGGAGAGTTCCTTTGACGAAACTTACTTTAATTTCTTTAAGAGACTTAAATAAGTTGTCCTAAAAATGAACTTCACTTTACATTTACAACCATTCGAGCTGAAACATACTATTCTTATATATGCACTTTTTGTAACTAAATATTTTTAACTTACGAACACTTCTATTAAATTCGAGTTTCTCTTTTCCTCCCGCCCACCAAGCTGCAAACTCTTCGCTGCTAAAACTAGCTCCCTCGCGCTCCTTCTTCAGATCGGGGTTAACCGTTTTGGGTATGATATTTCTTGAGGACATTTTGCAACTCCCACTTTTTTATTTCGCTTAAATTCCGACCTCTCTGCAGCAGATGTTGATTACAACTAAACGCGGCGAATCGAACTCACTTTAAATGTAACGTTTAGAATTTATAAATCTGCTGCTGGCACTTGTTGCCTGTTAAAACTCTTCTACGAACTTGCATTAGATCTCGCGGAAACTTTATACTCATTGTTAGAATAAGCTGAGCGAATTTCTAATTGCCATTGACTCTCTGTGTAAAAAGTTGCATACATACATACGTTAAAGAACATTGAAAGAGAAAAACTGTATTATTAACCGAATTACTTACTATAGGCGCCACCTATTGTCTGTTCATGTAACTAAGTATTTATCGATAGTTTACCGATGATGCGCACGTGGGGATTATGACGTGTGTGTGCCCTTATTATTTGTAAACAATGACAACAAATTTCAATGTCGGTCTGTTGGGCCATGTGGATAGCGGTAAAACTACTTTGGCACGTGCCTTGAGCTCTATCTCCAGCACAGCGGCGTTTGATAAGAACCCGCAATCCGTGGAGCGTGGCATAACACTCGACTTGGGATTCAGTGCTTTCGTATTGGATCAGCCCGATGGACCGCAGCTGCAATTGACGTTCGTAGATTGTCCAGGACATGCGTCGCTCATACGTACCATCATTGGAGGTGAGTCTGGGAGGACGTAAGCAGAAAATTAGCTCATGAAGTGTAGCTTACAGGTGCCCAAATCATTGATCTGATGCTGCTTGTAGTAGACGCACAGAAGGGAATGCAGACGCAGACGGCAGAATGTTTGGTCATTGGCGAACTGCTGGAGAAGAAGCTGATAGTGGTCATCAACAAGATCGATGTACTGCCAGCAGAACAGCGCGCCTCCAAGCTGGAGAAGCTTAAAAATAGGTTAAGAAAGACTCTCTCGGACACCAGATATGGCGACCAAGTGGGGATCTTTGCCGTTTCCGCCTTGGAAGGCACACATATTGAGGAGTTGAAATCGGGTCTACGTGCTGCTTACCATGTGCCGCAGCGGAATACAGATGCACCGCTGCTCATGTATGTCGACCACTGTTTCGCCATAAAGGGCCAGGGCACCGTCTGCACGGGCACCCTACTGCAGGGTCAAGTGGCCATCAATGACACAGTGGAGTTACCGCTGCTGGGCGAGAAGCGTAAAGTAAAATCCATTCAGAGATTCCGACAGCCGGTGGATAAAGCCAGTACTGGCGATCGAATTGGCCTCTGCGTTACCCAGTTCAATGCCAAGCTGATGGAGCGTGGCATCATCGCACACCCAGGCTATTTGCGTCCCGTTTATGCGGTTTGTGTAAAGGTTCAGCCCATACGGTACTACAAGCAGGCAATCCGCTCCAGAGGCAAGCTGCACATCAGCGTGGGCCATGACACGGTTATGGCCAACCTGACGCTATTCCGGGATGAAATCAATGTTGCCTGCCCAGAATTTGACTGCAGCAGGGAATATGCGTATGTAGAGGAGCTGCTCCCGGCGGAGGCAACGTCTGCCGATGGCCTCTTTGCGCTGCTGCAGTTCGAGACGCCAGTGCTGACTACCGTGGGCACTACGCTGATTGCCTCTAAGCTGGATATGGATGTGCACAGCAACAGCTGTCGACTCGCCTTTTGGGGTCGCATCGCCTGGCAGACGCACTGTGTCAACTACCAGACCGAAGTGATCCCTCAGCTGCGCGTATTCAAAAGAAAGCAGAAGGAGGGCAGCGTACAGCGCGTTGTCAGCTCGAACGAAATCATTGTACATAATCTCTTTAAGAAGGAAGCCAACCGCGATATGTATGTGGGCAAGCGCGTGGAGTTGTCCACGGGCGAGGCGGGTCACATCGAACGCACATTTGGACAGACTTCGAAGGTGTGCATTGTATTCAGGGATGGAATCTCGAGTGCCACGCTAGAGCAACTTAAATCTGAGCAGGCCAAAAAAGTTCGCGTGCTGTTGAATTGCAAGAAATATGTTTTTAATAAACAGGCGGGTCTGTTTCAATAAACTTAAAGTATTAAACAATTTTAAAATTGATATTCGCGCCTTTTGAATTAGCGCCATCTGTTGCATGTTTGTGCAGACAATTAGTGTTTAATTTTACAGCACTATGCTGTTATCGGCGGACCACCACAATGTAAGAGTACAAGAAGAAGACGACACACAAACAAAACAAAACAAAGTTCTTGCAAATGTCTAAGCATAATTTAGAAAATAATCATAGCAAAGTTTATACACTGTTATAATACAATCAGAAAATGTTGTGGTACGTAGCGTTGCTACTGCTACTGCTCAGCTATGTGTCACAAACAGAACCCGTAACTGTGGACTGCAACGAGCTGCTGATGGGGCAATTTATGTGCCCCGATCCCGCCAAGAATCACATCGATCCAAAGACTCAACAGCTACGTGGCTGCACAAAACAAAATCGAGCGCGTGTCTGGTGCATAGCTGCCCCCGAAATCAATTGCACTGAAACGGGCAACTCAACGTTTACACGAGAGATGCCATGCAAGTGGACGTAAGTGAGGTCAATGCACTGTGTACGCCGGCTACAGTTCTGTCTTTCCATTATTGCTTGCAGCAACGGATATCACTTGGACACGACATTGCTACTCTCTGTGTTCCTGGGCATGTTCGGTGTGGATCGTTTCTACTTGGGCTACCCGGGCATTGGGCTGCTCAAATTATGCACTCTGGGCGGCATGTTTCTTGGTCAATTGATAGATATCATTTTGATAGCGCTACAGGTGGTTGGGCCTGCTGATGGATCGGCCTACGTCATACGTATGTATACAGATTATAATTTTGCTTGTAACTTAATTTAATTATTCAATTCTGTTTCAGCTTACTATGGAGCGGGCATAAGCATTGTAAGGAGCGATAACACAACGTACCGGTACTGTAATCAGCTCTCTTGTATGCAGCCGTAAATCATGTGGATATTGCTAAAGATCAGACTATGTACTAAGCAACGACTGTTGAAACCTATTACTAATTGTAGTTATAAATTTAGATTGTTAGCTCAAAGATTTGTTATATATAAGTTAGCTAATGTAAACAACACAAATGTATATAAATCCAAACGAATTGTTGCCAAAATGAACGAAGAACTTAATCTTCAGATGAGTTGCGCTCAGTAGATAATTGGCCTACTTGTAGTTGTACTTGAAATCTTGTTTGCGACTTGAATATTTGCCGAGTTCAGTCAGAGCTGGATCGGGATTGAGTTGGTCGACACACTGACGCAGACTCCATGCAGACGGTAATCAACGCAGATGACGGCGACGGCGCAGCTCAAGATAGGGGTCCCTTAAAGGGGGTAATACGAATCGCGTATTGCAAGTTCGAACAGCGATTCCGATTGCGCATGCTGTTTGCTGTTTGCAGTATGCTGTATGCCTTGTACGTTCTGTGGGCCTTTCATCTGATTGGCATTTCCGAAATAATCAGCAGCATTGCATCGACAACGGCACGAAATGAAGAAAACAACAAAAACAAGGCTGGAAATGCGTCGCTTGTTCGATTTAATTGCCATGGCCAATGTTTGGGGTCGCGTGTAATTCAATGCCTTTTAATTAGGCACTCAATTAAAGGCAGATTCGCGACTTCGCGATGAAAGTCAAAAGGCAATAAATAAAGCGCATCGCATCGCGTCACATGCAAAACATGCACAGCAAACAGTTTGCGAGTCAGTGAATCTACAACTGTAGCATATTGCTCATACGCGCTGTGGCTGGCTGACTTATATGTTTGCTTGTGTACATTGGTAGTTATATTGTTGTTTACCCAGCCACGCCACCACGCCCACACTCCCGCACTCCCCGCTCAGTCTGCTTTCTCCCAATGCCATTATGTTTGCCTCCAGCCGCAGCTGTCTGCGTCTCAGCGTGTGTCCAGTTTCAATTAGCCAAGCTGACAGCCCGTTGCAAGACTTTTCATATAGTGTGTTGTCCTTGTTGTTGCTGCTCTAGCTGACTTTATAGTTGTTGCTGCTGTTATTGCTGCCGATGCTGCTGTTGTTGTCGTCGCACACACATCTATGTAATTACAGCATGCGACTTTTGCCGCCTGTGTAAACAACGCGACGCTTTGATCTCCGTCTGACAGGCAGTCGACAGTCGCAGTTGGCGCTACTTAGCCAGCAGTTGAACTGAATGAATAGGAATAGGAGTAGCTAGCCAGCCAGCCAGCCAGTCAGCTAGTGGTTGCCTTTGTGTTGTGTCAAGTGCCGTCCCAATCCCAATAATGGTATCGCTTACTTCTGGCCAAGCTGCTTCAACTGCTCAACTGCAGGCAAATGAACTTTGCCGATGGCCATTAGAAATTTGAGCAGCTTGTTTGTGGCTTTCTTCTATAGTTACCCTGTAATAGCACACTGCTTAACAGGGTATCATATTTATGTATATGTATTATGCATGTCATAGTCGAAGGTTGACAACTTTCGAGTAGGCTGACAAGTTGAGGCGTTTAAGCCATGTTTGACTTTCTCTTTTGCTCCGTTTGCAATCTTATCTGTATCAAGCAAATGAAAAAAAAATAAAATAAAAGTCCTGTCATCTTTTCACACCTCGCTTGATCTATTTATAGTTAAGTCTGTCATTTAAAGTATATTTAAAATAATTTGTCATTTATCATATTGCCAACAACAACGTCAGATACTCTATAGATTAATCCAGCAACTTGGATTTTATTAAAGCTCAACAACTATAAGTGCCAACTAATACAAACTTACATACCTTAATAATATATTTTCTTGTTAAAAATTAATAATTCTTGAGTAATAAGATGATATATAATTTGTGAAATAAGATGATTCAAAACTAAAGTCGGAGGCTGTTCTTAAGGTATTTTCGAGTCGTGCATATCTCCCAAAGCCCTCCTATTCTACACCTACCTCTTTTTTTCTGTCTACAACGCACGTGGCTTCCAGCTCATGGAAAATGCCTAAAGAGCAACGCAGCTCATACTGAGAACTCTGAGTTTAAAGTTTAGTGGATGCTCCGTATCTATTTTGCTTGGGATTAGGCCACAGCTCAGGTGACGCTATAAAACAGTTAAAAATGCAAAGCGCAAGCAGAAAGCACAAATTGCTAAGCACACACAAACACACACTCACACACAGCAGATACTACGTAAAGTACGGCAAATAATGGCTAATTGCAAATATTTGCAGTTATCAAAATAGAATCGAAAACTGTTTTATATATAGACGCCAGAGCTGCAGGAAAAAGATTGGAGAGTTGAGCTCCACATGGACGTAGGTAGGCGTGGCTAAGGTGGAAGGCAGAGAGGCTGCTGGCATTGCGCTGCTTGTGCTATTTGCATAGCGCTTAGAAGCTCAACGGCTAATTACGCTCAAGTGGCGTGGAAAATTGTGGGTCGAAACGCTTTCCCTCCAGACCCCAAGCCCCAGCTGCTGCGGCTGCTGCTGGCAATGACGTTTATGCCAAATTGCTTTTAAAGTTGTTTACAATAACAGTTAACTCTATACAAATATAAGTAATTTAATGAAGCGCAATTATTGAATTTACAAAGTAAATCATAGACTGCGTCAGGGTCTGCCACATGATGCCACAGCTGCGGCCTGTTAGCTGTGAGCCGAGCGCTAAGAGCTGAGAGGTGAGAGCTGAGAGCTGGGGCTGGGGAGGGGCTGTGGTTGCATGCATGCGAGGCAGCGGCATTTGCAAATTGTTAGCTGGTTGCAAGTTCTCATAAATAATGGCAGCCTCTTGTGACAAAATGTGCGCCTGGGAAAACGAAAACCGAAACCAACTTCGATTCGCAGCGTGGCGATGCGGCGATGCGGCGATGAGGCGACGCGGCAACTGGCAACTGTTGAGGCTAACAACAGCATTCGTGATAACTGCGCAAAGTTTTTCCTTGCTTAGCTCTAGCCTGGCCGGGTCTATGCCTATGTCTAGCTAATCTTATACAATGAGTGCATAAATCATCTCCTGCTGCCCCCTCCTCCGCCCACCTGCCTGGTGACTGCATTTTCCATGGCATTTGATTACATTGAATGTGCTTTTCCTCAGCTCCAGCTCCAGCTTCAGCTCACAGCTCGCAGCTCTGAGCATAAATGTCAAATGCTTACCAATTTGATTTGGCGTTTGGCTAAGTATAAATTATGCCAGGCAAAAAAAAGGAAAAAAAAAAAACAGATAAAACACCTGACTACCTCCGCCCCCATATGCCCGCACTGCGCGCCTTCAACGCCTGCTCAGCTCTATCTAGTCAAAAGTTGTCTTTAATTTGCGTTTAAGCCAACAATTTACCAACTTAAGTGTTATTATCGCATTTGAAACAAATGCCATAAAAGATTTGTGGCTTTTGAACAAGTGCGGCTAAGTGCTAGTTGCTGTATTTAACTGTAAAATGCAGCTGTTTGTTGCTGCTGCTGCTGCTGCTGTTCATGTTCATGTTGCAGTTGCTGTTGTTGTAATGCATGTGCTGTTGCATTTAGTTAATGCATGATTCCAAATGTCTATGCCTTGTAAATGACATTTGCAATTTGTTTGGGTCACTTTAATGTGGAAATGTTGTAGACATTTCTTCTTCTTCTTCTTTTTTAGTCGAGTGTGTTTAAATATGACTTACTTGAAATATTTATAATACAATTGGAAGCGAGGTCTTAGCTGTTGATCTGCCTGATGATAAAGCTTTCATTATATGCTATGCTGTTGATTAAATCTTTATTCTTTGACTCAAAACTATAAAGCATCTTGTATCCAAACATGTATTTTAAAATATATAAATGTGTTTTCCACACAATATTCATTCACACTCAAAGCAAACGATTTTGGATTTTATTGCCTGCAAATGAACTATATTTACTCATTTCTTAAGACTTATATTCGCATAGATTAAAACCAACAAAGTTTATTACCTATTGCACTTCAAACATGTTTCAATATATTCTTACTTTATGCTTTCTGATACAAAATTGTACCATAATTTATATTAAATTCTACAAAGCAGAAATCTGTTTAATTTCCTGGTAAACTTGTGCGATTTATTTTTCGTTTGCAAACAATTCCCCTGGGTTCCCCGAGTTCCTCAACTCACGCTATTAGAACTTACCTAATGGATCATAATGATATCTTTATAGATAGGTAAACTTCAATTGGCCTTGCATACTTTGCATTCCATTCATAAAATAAAAGTGATGCCGCCGCTGCTCGTGATTATTGGGTTAGGTATTCCGAATGGTATTTCCTTCGACAATTGCAATATCAGAGCAAACAGAACAATGTTCGAGGCATATTAAAATGCCAGTTGACAAACTCTAATTTGCAGCGCAGAATTCTGGGAAGCGTCTGAAATTGAGAATAGAGATAACATTATTAGCCAGCATTGTTTGAGGAGGGCGTTCCGGCGGACGGCGGGCAGGCGAGCAGGTGAGCAGGCGGGCAGGCAGGCATATGCGAGGGCTGTCAAATGAGCCATTCACCTGTGTGCCACAGAGCACCTGTTTAACAAGGTGTTCATTTCACATTGTTGTGCACTTTGTTGGAATGCTGGAAATCATATTCCAATTGCTGATTGCAGCACCAACAAAATATATCAAGCAAGCAGGCAATTCGAGCAGCACCAAATCAAAGCAGCGGACTTTGAACACTTACCGAAAAAGGAAAACAAATACAAGCCACATCGAATGGCTGAAATAACCAAAAGAACAGAAATTCCATTGAAGCTAAGATATTATATTATTGAAAGGTATCCTAAGTGGAGCTAATACATGGCTGAGCCGTGCTAAAAATAAGGCATCGATTTAGCATTTATAGCTAACTAGCTGGAGGTAATATTAAACGTTCCTTAAAGTAAATAACATTGAAGTGTTTCATGCTGTAAATAATATATATTAAATGCATAATGTAATAATTGAAAATAATATATATTAAATCACATAAAAAATTCTATAAAAGTAGTTTACGACGGAGTATTTCAGGCCAGTGTAGGAAGTCACTCTTAAGAGCCGAATTCGAGGTTTGATTTGAAAACAATCTCTAGAAAAGTTAAGTACAACTAATACATTATTTATAATATA